GATGGATACATTTGTTTGCTCCCAAAAGAAGTCAAAATTATAGCAAAGGAGATTGAAAATAATTTAACATTTTCTAGGATACTGCTGATACATTTGATCTTTCCTAGAAGGTCACTGAATTATGTGGATCTGGCAGTTGCACATTGATGCAACCTCTTTAATGTGCAGTCAACCAGGGACTTTACTGGGGCTACAGTTCTTGAAAAGAAGGCTCTTCAGGACTACAGGACCAGATCTCTTTACCAGATAAATTAGCTGCCAGCTTGTGTAAACCTCACATAATTTTAAACAATTGGATTCTTCTTTTCTGTCTTTCAGGGCTCAAGAGGACCACCTGGACCACGAGGACGACAAGGCAACATGGGATGTCCAGGCAAAAGAGGTTTAAAGGTTAAACAAAAATTCTGAAAATATTCTTTCATTGTGATTTAGAATAATCCTTCAATGTTTTTATTACATTTTTTCCTAACTTTTGCCACCTTTTTTCCTTTCAGGGATTTCGAGGATTTCTTGGAAAAAAGGTACAGTATGACTCTAGACAGTCCAAGTTTGTGAATGCAGTATTCTTTAGGGCCTTGTCCTGAACTAAAGAGAGATTTTGAGAGTTTTGCAGAGATGTCAGTGAGTGTTAAGTCAATGCTACTTTTTTTAGGCTGCTTTGCAGATGTCTGCTGCAGTGCCAGTTTATGGTTGTGCCTAGGGAACATAGGAGAAATGAAACTTCAAGCATTAATTCCTGTGTTTAGTTTTTCTACTGGGTTTTGGTTGGTTTTGGGGTTTTTTTTGTATTTTTTTTTATCTTGGTCTATGTCACCCTGTTCTTGCTGGATTTTGTAAATGTGCACTAGGTGTTTACACAAAAAATTCATGCACATCTGTATTATTTCAGGGTGACAATGGGGAAGATGGGACTGATGGAATTAGAGGTGAAGAGGTACATTATTTTCTTTTTTTTGCGTTCTTGACCTCAAAGCTCCCGAGTGATGAAAGTGAATTAGTATACCGTATTTTGTCTTAAAGGGAGCTCCTGGGGTTCCTGGAAAGAAAGGAGAAAAGGGTGACATTGGATATCTGGTAACATTTTTTTATCCTTTATTGGTCAGGGCTTGGATTTAAGAACAATAGTATGGCTATTTCATGAAACTGTCCCTGCAAGAAATGTCTTTAATAAACTCTACAGCACAAGGAGTAGACCTTGCACTACAAATTATTTGCACATTTTCTGTTTGAATTCCTATCAGGAGAGTTATTATAGGACTTCCAGCATCTGAAGAAGAGTAAACTACTGATGCCTGGCTAGCAGGTATTTTTGTAAATAGGGTATATACCCAAGAAAATAGTTGTTTCTATTTAAAAGAGAATTTGAAGAATAATTAGATCTGTTCCTTATAGTCTTCTAGGTGGGGATTTTCTCATAGCTATTGAGGGATCAATACACATACACGAGACGAGATTTTTTTATCTGTGTTTGCCAACATCAGATAACTTTTTTTCATAAAGCACGGGGCAGCCCTGTTGCCTTTCCAGTTACCTTGCAGTCTGAAACAAGGTGTAACTTAGGACTCCAAATGACAAAAAGAGATACTACCTTGTGTCAGCTTCAGTAGACAGTTGGAGAATTGACCATTTGTCTTTTCACTGATGAGACACCATTTGTAGAATGGCTAACTGCAGACACTGAACATTTTGGCTTGGTCCATGTGATAAAAACAATCCTCAGTGGGAACCAAGGTTCAGGCAATCAGTTACAGTTTACCCTCCACAATTGAATGCCTGCTATTAGGGATGGCAGGCTGGTGGGTAGCCACCATGCAGGTCAGCGCATAAAGAGTTTGAGCTTGCAGGAGTAGCAGCTGGATACCTGTTTCAAGTGTGGAAAACAATACTTGCAAATAACTGCTTGGTGCCTCACTTCCAGAAGAAATTGTCTTGCCCTTTCTGCCCTTATAAAGGTGCCCACAGTGGCACAGGGCTGATTGCTACTCAGAAGACTATAGTTATTCACAGATAAGGCACCATTACATTCAAAACATGAAATATATGTTAGCATCAACCTTTCAATGGTGTAGTCTACAAACTTCTTTGATATTTGGAATAATTTCTGTTTAGTTGCAATAAGTATTTTGAATTTATTCCTTAGTTTAAAAAAAAAAACAAAACAAAACAAAACCAAAACAAAATGTTGAGAATAGTGCCTGTTTTTATATTGCTTCCTGTCCCAGAACCCCCAAGTTTCTGGGTTTGTTGGGAGTGGAATTGGGGAAGAGACTGTGAGTGAGTCTATTTAAAAATGAAGGTTGAAAGGTTGGAACTTGGATGTCCCTCTTGACAATTTCTGCATGAAAGTAGTGTTTCAGGTTCTTACTGAGATATGTTCTGCTTTCAGGGAAGTCCAGGACCAAGAGGACCCCCTGGAGATCGTGGCCAGAAGGGCTTTCGAGGAGATCCTGTGTGTTTTTTCAAATGCATCATTATTTTCTAGATGCTGACTGTCTTCTTGTGTGGGCTGATAAGACTTCATACATAGTCTCCTGGGCACCAGGGCAAAACTGAGATGTTCTTCCAGTGTGTTCACATGATATCACGATGACTGTAGCATGTCTAGTACATAGGCTTTTTATTAACCTTTCATATGTGTAAATCTCTCTATTGCTTTGCTAAAGAAAAATGTTTTACAGTTTTTAAGTAGTTAGTACTACCAAATCCTTGATCTGTTCTCTCTAAACTCAACTCCTTACAAAGTTGACAGTAATCATATGCATTCTGTAAGGACTGACTTGTTTATTTAACATCGCAACTTTTGTAAGAATAAGCATTCTTACTGGGAGGTGTTTCTTTTTTTTCAGGGTAACCCTGGACTGAACAATGCAATAACAGGAGCAAGAGGCTTTGCAGGGGAAGAGGGGGAAGAGGTAATTGTTTAGAAATATGTGGAATTTCTGTAAGATATCTGCTTACTAGTTGTACAGTTTCCTCTTCCTATCTGCTTTATTTAGAATGTATCTTTGCCAAGGATATGGGAACTTACAACTTATGAAATGTGATGCTAACAAAGGTCTGAAAAGCTTTTGATCAGAAATACCACTGGAATGAGTACCACTGTCAACATCAAACCCGCAAGGCAATGGCAAACAGCTGATTTGATTCCAATGGATTTGATTCCAATGTGCAAATCATTAAAATCTTCCACTTTTAAGAGAAGATGTTATGATAGCCACTGAATCCCATGGGCTCTGGGACCTGGGAACTCCTCCTTCCCAATCACTGAAGCCCAGTCAAATGCACACTAAGACCTAGGAGGTCTCTCTGTCCCAGTCCTGGGACATCTGTCCCAGATGCCGCTGCTGCTGCTACTGTTTGCAGGTTTGGCCTGTATTCCAGAGAGAGATATACACACACAGAGGACACCAGTGCGTTCAGACACACAGACTACCACAGACAGAGCACTGCCTTTACCGGCATCCACAAGTAACACAGCCAGGACTTACGTGAAATGTATGTACAGATAGTAAAGCCCTGTTCCTCCTCTCTGGAAGAGGAACATGTGTCCTAAATATTTAGATTCACGAGCACAACCATATTCACAGATCCCTCAGATATCAGCATAGCTTCTAAATCCACCTAAGATCCATGCCTGGACCATTGGCAAGAGAACTGAATACTCTCCTTTCCTTCTCCTGAGATCAGTTGCAGGGGAAGCTCAGCTATGTCCAGGCAAAAGCAACAGCCCCGCTTGCACTTAGAGTGAACTGAAAACAGATTTTATTATCCAGATGACAGACCTGAGAAAAGAGGTCTGGTAGAAATCCCTCTCTGCTTTCAGGGAGAGTTAGAAGACTGGGTGAGCCTTTTTTCCTGTGGTACAACAGTACCAATGCTTGCCTTTTGCGCAATGGTTTCCAGGAAGAGTATGCCCTCACAAGCGGTCTGTGTCATTATCCTCACTGCAATAAAGGAAGAAATTGAGGAACAGAAAAGAAGTAACTTACCCAATATCAAAGAGCAGACTAGGAGCAGAGTCGGGAATCTGCCAAGTCTCTAACCCCCAGCCCTGTGCTCCTAACAAGGGCCTGCAGGAATCTTTCTCAGAGCTGTAATGGTATTCACCAGTTCTGAGATAGTACTATCAGCCAGGCTTATTCAGAAATGTGTAACTGGTTGCTTTCGGTGGTCAATGCTATTTACTGAAAGACTTTGACAGAGAATTTTGTCATGGGGAAGTCCCACAAGACAGTTTTTGGCAGTCTTAAAAATTTGACGTGCAAAAACAGACAAAAGAAGAAATGAGAAATTGCGGTGATGCTAAGGAAATTAAATTTTCTGCGTACAGGGGGAGAGAGGACAAGAAGGCTCACGTGGCTTCTCAGGAGGCGTAGGCAACCCGGTAAGTTCCTTTAACAGAGGCAGCTTGTACACAATGAAAGTGAAAAATAGTTCTTAACTTGCTTGGACTTGATTTAGCGGGACAATGCTTTTTAGCCTCTGCCTTGCATGCACTGTTGACAGCAACATTTAATTTGGTGAGTAGCAATACTCTTATCGTTAAATAAAAATACCTTTTCCTAAGTGACATTCATAATGGCACTGGAGGCCAAAACTGGACTACTGTTTTTGTAAGTATACATTTTTTGTAAAAAAGCATACACTTTGCATTTGTTTATCTTTTAGCTGAAAAGTTTTAATGAAGTAATTGCAACAAGTTATCCACTTTTAACAGCATTCAGATGATACCTAACTTGGCCTAACAGCGTTTTTTTGTTTTACCTTGTCTTAGGGATTACCAGGACAAAGGGGACAACGGGGACCAGAGGTAAGAACTATTCTTTTCTTATGTTTGCCCTTTTCCACATAGGAGCTTAATCAAGAATTTTGAAAAAGAGAATCCAAGAGAATCCTAGTTGCTATAGATATGTTTGAGAAACATTTTTTTAAATTGATGAGCAGCTTCAGCTGGACTTCCATGTGTATGCTTCCTGCTATTACACTAAAACACCTGCAGGAGTATGTTGCAAATATTGCATGGATAACACTGCAAATTTTAGGTATTTATAGCTTGCATGCAAGTATTGTTAGATACATTAGGCCTTCAAAAGCAGAAAGTGCTGGTTTTAGTGCTCAGCAAGTCTTTCCCGGTGGCTACAGTATGAAATGATTTTGAATGCCTTACATATTGTCTGCACACAGGATTTTATTTCAAGAACATCATTACTGTGAAGTTTCAGAAATAGTCTTCGAATTGTTTTTGCTGTGTTGATTACTAGTTCATTCTGGGTCTGCAGTGTTCAACATGTTGAAATCAGACTAGTTAGATAGATGCTCTGGAATTTTTCTTGAAATCTGTAAACACAAGAAAATATATTATCCATAGCAGGAAGATGTAAAGAAAAAGAATAGACCTTTTTACTACAATAAATCCCAGCATGTTACTGTCTGTTAGGTCACATATTAGAAAACTTTAACAAGAAAAAGATTTATTGTCATTTAAAAACAGGGCAGTCGTGGACAGCCTGGTCAGTATGGCTTGCAAGGAAAGCAAGGATACAAAGGACCTCAGGTAAACATTATTATTATTCACAAAAGGAAAAAAAAAAAGAAAACCAACCTACCACTAATGGGTTGTGTATATTAACTGAACTCTTTTGTACCTTTTTATTTTAGGGACAAGAAGGCATTAATGGTCAAAAAGGACAGAAAGGGAGACCAGGACCTAAGGGTCCTCCAGTAAGTAATATAGTGAAAGCATGCCGTGTTGTTTAATTTTAAGGTACTGGATGTGTAACTGAGGATTGCGATCTGAATGTTTTTCATGATGTCATTGACTTTTCAAGTTTCTTTTCAGTACCTGGTATTTACCAGAAAAGGAGATACGTATTGCTAAGAGAAAAAAGCAATGAAGAATTTCCATAAAACTATTATTACTGATAAAATAGGAGCTTTCTAATAATTCCAGCTTCCTAGCAATAGTGGAGAAAAAAAAGTTATATTGCTAGGCACTTCTCCTACATCAGTATTTTTTCCAAGCTGTAACGAAATCTGCAGTTAATACCTAATACGTTGTGGCAGTTATAACAAGCTATTAACAAAGAACTTGACAGTTTCATTCTAGTAAGCTAAGACAGAAAAAGAGAAGAAAGGTCACAGATTTGGCCATGCAGAAACTATTGAGTATGAATTAATCTAACAATTATCATCATTTTAGTTCCTAGGAATTCTAGACCTTTCATTGGTGAAAACCTGTCTTAGAGAGGTTATCTGCCTTTGCTACTTAGCCTCCTTTCTGGATGTAAATCTTGTTCCAAGTGCTGTAGCACAGTTGTTGGTTGTTTTTTTTTTTTATAAGGACCGGCTTTCAAGAGCAGTGATGGTATGGATGCTCTGTTGTGAGTGTATTAACCTTTTTGTTGTTCGTGCTCGGACTTCCTACAACCTTCTGTGCATTGTCAACCGATCTGTAGAATTGCAGTTGAATACTTTAATTCAAAAACAAAGTAGACAGACTAATTTTCACAATCCAGTGGAATAATTTGGCCAGACAAGATAAAAGTTGGTGGCTAAACACATTAAGTAATATATAAGAACTAATATCTCTCAACTGTGTGTTCCCGTAAGCCCTCTTATTGGTTTCCTGGTGATAGGCTTCCCAGTAACACCCAAATCCCAGGAGAATCCTTTGCTTGCTCACTTCTTTCTCTGAAACTAAAATTCTCTCCTCTGTCAACTGCCAAACATTTCCTATCTCCCACACAGCCGTGTGTTTTCATGAACTCTCTTCCCTTGTACATCGGACATTTTCAGGGGGATGTGGGGAAAGGGAAGTGTAGTTGCTGCCTTTTGTACTGAGCTGATCAATGGTCATGAAACCAGCTCAACCTTCTGCTTTCTGGTCTGGTTGCCCTTGCTCTGAACTCATCGGCAGGGCTACTGGGTGGAAAGCAGGATGTTGCCCTCTGCAGGGATTTTTGTCATTTGTACAGTGTAGCACACCCACCCACCCACCACCCCCGCCCCGCCCCTGAAATTTTCCCCATTCCTAATCAATAACAGCCTGGTACACTAAGGAGACAATGCTGAGTTCCTACACGTGGCAGCTTCCCCACAGCTTCCCTCTGTCTCTCACTTTGCTATTTCCTGTTGTCCTTTTGAAAATAAATGCTGGCAGGATTCAAGCAAATTGTTGCTTCTCAGTAAAAAAGAGTGAAAATACTAGTTGTCCTATATGAGGGCTTACAAGATAAATTGCTTATGTGGCTCCACTTTGTTGAAATGCCAGTCGATGACTGGATTTAAGGAGATGAGTATTGTTTTCATTGTAACATTTTTCCCTGAAACTTCGGTGTTGAAAACGTAATTACAAATATGAAAGGGAGAGGTCACATTGATGAAAGCATAAGGTTTCTGTCTATCTGGTATCTCTGTGTTTTCTACCAAATTAACACATGATTTTTTTAGAACCTCATCTTGAATTTGAAGAATTTGAAGGGGACAACCTTGGTGGTGCAAAGTCACAGTTTCTATGAGCCTTTTTTAGAATCAAATATAATGCACTGTGACTATCATGCCCTACCAAACTTCTGATGTGAGCAGCAACTTTGCAACATACCAGTTTTGAATGGTCAATGTCCTGTAGATCACTCACATATGTCCTTTTTGCTATTTTGTTGCCAAATTCTGAGATTGTCATGGAAAAGAAAAACTGTTTTCGCTTGTTTTTTTTCTGAGATCATGCAACATTCAAATCTTGATAATATTTGTGTACTTATCCATAAAAATTCTGTCTTTCTGTCATGAGAACAAGAGTCTTAAAGCAACATTTTCTTCAGGCATGAAATGCTTGTTGTTTTAGAAAGACATCTTGAATGCTTCCTTGATGTGACAGTTAATTAATTTTTTTTATGCAGTCTTGTTTAAAGTTATGTTTCCCAGCAAACAATTTACCATTGGACCCATCTGCTTATCTTTATCTTCCTCTGCCAATAGTGAGCTGAGGAGGCTTCAGTTTGACTTATGAAGCACGTGTCTCGATTGAATTTCACTTATTTTTCTCAGTTCTGTCCAAAAGGTGTATATTTTTCTCAGTCTTCAGTATTTTGTGACCAGACCTAGGCATTTTGATTGAACATGCTGTGTAGATGTTAATGTTGTGTTTATTTGCAAATGTGGTGTTCAGTGACCAAAAAGGGAAGTGATTTCCTGTCTTCCAATTAGCACTTAAATTGTCATGCTGCTTGAGGTGGGTCACAACCACCAACTAGTGACTAGGAATCACTTCTGACCGCATTTTTCTTTGCCCAGTATTTGAAAACCTTTTCTTAAAGGAATCTTGTATCAGAATATTTTTACACAATACATTGTGTGTTGGCATATGGCACCCAGGACTGCTATTGTGTTCTTAATGATGTGCCTAGTGACTCCTCTCCTCCCCCTAGGAGAAGTGCCATTATTTCCTGAAGTGGAGTCACATCCTGTCAGAAAAAAGCATCTGAGATCCAAATAGTCCTGGGCTGAGCAGCAGAAGAGGAGGAAGAGGCAGAAGTAGAGGTGCAGGGGTAGACTTTCTTAGGAACACAGAGCAGGTCACAGAACCACTTTAAGAGCAAAGGCCTAGTCAAATTGCTGAATCCATTAGACTTTGTTTGGTCTCACTTTCTTTTCCTGCTGTAATTCACCAAAAGGAAACTGCTTCTTGTTCTGGTAATAGGATTTTTCCCCAGAAATGATTGCCACATGGTTATGCAATTCCTTATATCTACAAAGATGTTTGTTGTCAATAATGCTTTTGTTATCTGACCATATCAACTTAATTTTGTTTGGAAATAAACTATTCAATTTCCCTATACTCTAAAATACCCCATGCTAGATACACTGTCATTTGAAGCATTTCAGCTGAAAATACAATGCTGTATTACAGAAAGACATTGTATTCTTCTATTTTGATGGCATTATTATCTGGAATGATTCTAGTCTGTGGTCTTTTAATCTTTTCACTCAAGTTAACTGTTCCAGTTTTCATTTCTGTTTTACATATTAAGTGATATGCTGGTCGGGGCACTGGAGAAAGCATTGCCCTTTCTGGTGTCCCTCCTCCTAACGACTCAGTGATCTGCAAGATGCAAACAATTTTTAATATTTCTACTCTGTGTTTTAGAATACAAGTATTTAATTCGCATTCCAATCCTCACCTAAGCCCACTGAACACCACTCCGCGTTGCTCGGGTTTTGTTATTGTAAAAGAAATAAAGTCACTGCAGTTGTTTGATAGCTTTATGGGTAGTATCCCTAACTATAGTACTCTCGCTGGTGTAAGCCTTACTTAGCACATAGTCAAATCAATTTCCAGGCCCACTCCACGTATTTGTGGAGGCATGATAGAGATAAAAACCTCCATGTATCTGTCCCGTATAGAGAAAAATGGGCTCGTCACTACATCCATTGTAAAGAGACTGCAGAAGAATACTTGTCCTCTTCGTTACCCTGTAAGGAGATTTATTAATTTAAAAAGATGCTAAAGAAATGGAGAAGATTCTATCTTCCTGTTTGTCCATTTTCTACACCCTTTAAAAAAAAAAAAAATGCACATGCTTCTTTAGAAACATCTTAGTTTTGATCTTTGAGGTCAGTTACATACGAAGGTCCCTGGTCACATTCAGTAACAGAAGGCGTCAATCACAGCTTCTGGAAGCCAGCTGTGAAGGGCTGGGAGGGTAGATCTGCCTTTGCTCTGATGTATCATCCAAACCCCACATCTGTTGATTTTCTTCAGAAAATATTTAGAATAGTGTGGCTTTCTTTAGAACAGTGTGGCAGCTGCTCTTTGGCTACAAATACGAGGCCAAGATGCTAGCCTGGGTTGCTCAAGCAAAGTTCTCGTTGCTTCTGATGCGATACAGGCTCTCCTGCAATAGTGGTCAGTATTTTGCCCTGCAGGTTTTTAAATGGCCATGTTGATGGACAGCTGTTAGCAATTTTGTTGAGATATTTTTGCTAATTATAGAGTATAAGGACAGATAATAGTACTTGTTTGGAACTGACAAAAGAAAAGATTGGTATGATGAAGACTAGAAAAAATGTGCTATCCAATAAAAGTAATAATGGTCTCTATGTTTTAAGAGATTCTGCTATTTAAGGGAGGGGAAACGAAGAAGTGGAGTGTGCTATTTTACAACTAGGAAGCTAAGGTTTTTTTACATTGGCTGACTAATCCCTGCCAAATGCCTGGAGGAAAGCATTTAGTTGGTACTGTATGAGTTGGTCATTGTCATTCTGCAGCCAGATATTTCAGAGAGAGGATATACACAGAGAGAGGATGTGGCACAGTTTGGTTAAGCCAAACTCTTGTTATATCAAAAATACTTACATTGGATTAAAGTCCTGGAGAAAATAGGATCGTGTTCTCTGACCCACTTTCAAGACAAATCCTATCAATATCCTTCATTTTAACTTACAAGTAATAGAATAGCACCTGCAGTTTTAGTGTAGGATGGCCTGACACATTTAGTGTCCTCCTTCTTAGTCATTCTGTTCAGCTGTGGATTGCGGGTGAATCCCAGAATCAAACAGGAAGCTTGAAGTGGAAGTAGAAGCTGATCTTATTGATATGTCATCTTCTGTGTTATCTGGAAGATCAGCCTTTTTCCTGGAACCTTGAGGGCTGCTTTCTAGGGGAGGACTGTAAGGATGTGTAGATATTGATTATGTAGCCTACAAATTTTGTGGCATTAGTCAATTTTTATAAAACGTAAGTCCAACCTGAGAAAGAATTTGTGTGTTTTGTCTGGTTTCTTATGTTACATAGTAGTATTTGTTTCCTTTTGTCTATTTCAGAATGAACCAGGAGGTATGGGTCTGGCAGGGACTCCCGGAGATCCTGGAAAAACAGGAATTAAAGTAAGGTTCCCTCAGTTAAATTACTGTATTGTTGATTTAAAAAATGGCTTGTCTATTCTGTTCTTGGGATCCACATCTGGAACGATTTCCCAGGCAAAGCTCCAGGGGATGTCTGCAGGGTCAGTCTCTTGATCTGAGTAGCAATTGTGTTTAAATACGTTTAAATAAGCATTATCATGTTTGGTTTTGGATTGCAGTTTGTATGGTACTTAAATTCCTTTGAAAAAAAAACAAGCAAGCCCAGCAAGCACAGTATGCATGTTAGTAATGGCTCTGGCCACAGCTGCAGCCACAGCTGCACAGAGCTTTTCAAGGGTGGAAGCTTCTTAGGTCTTGACTTTCTTTTATTTGAAAAGCCTCTCTCTGCCAAAGTGTGAACTAGAAAGTTCACGGAAACAGAGCTTTAAATGAGTTTTGTTTCATCTATTAAACCTTTAGGTGTAACTTTTACTCTCTGGATAGTTTGTTAATTCTATAAATTGAGAAGCTGTTTGTAAGCGCTTTATAAGGCTGCTATCATTTGCATGGTAAACCATATTATGTTGTGTAGTTCTTCCATTAGGACCTAACAGTTCGTGTTTATTGGATTTACTCTTCCCAAAAGAAATTGTAAGCTCTGTGCCAGACTAAGCTATTAAAGGGTGTGGGGCAAAGCTTCACATAACCAGAGATCAGAAGAAGTGATTCCAATAAAAGTATTATAATGGAGTTACAGTGCTCCCTTTTAACTCAAACTTTCAGAATCATGATAAGCCAAGAATCCAAAAGATAAATGCCTGACAAAATTTAGAGTAACGATCTTCATGGTGAAAGTGTAAGATTTTTGCAATGCTTTATTTATGCATTTTGGGATTTGTAGGATATCTCAAAAGTAAACAATCGTCATTTTCATAAGCATAAATTTGGGTGTCTCAGGTTATACACAAAACCTCACGTTTTGGGTGAGATCACTCAGTCTAGCATTTGCACATCTAAATAAAGGATAAATGCAAAGTAGCTTTTAACATAAAAGTTGGGTTTCAGGTATGTTTTTACCTGCAATCCTGAGGCTGCTTATCTGATTTTACAAATCGTAAGAAAGTAGCTTGAAGGTAATAGTGTTGTTATATTTTCTTTCAGGTTAGTCAAATTCCTTCATATTTGAGGATGAGTGTGTGGGGTTTGTCAACTGGTATAGTCAGATAGTTATTCCACAGGATGAAGGAAATTCTTCTGTGCCTTTTGAAATTGGATTGTAAGACTGTAAGCTGAGTTTTTGGAGCCAGTGATTTTACCACTTTAATACTCATAATAATTTGTCATCCTTTAATAGAGTCTGTTTGATCTGACACTAGAAATGTTTTGTTCTTTGGTTTGGAAATCATATATTCTTTGAAAAATCTGCCCATATTATGTAAATGTTCCTTTCAGTCTGTGTTTAGAGAGTTGAAGAAGGACCTTCAACACAATATTTCAGATTTCCTTTGCAGAACCTAATTTTGAAATTCACAGTATCCCTTTAACCAAGCATAACTCAAATGAGTATGGCAATGGTTTACTTAATTTATTCTTTTTTAATAGGGACAACCTGGTGATCCAGGACCAAAAGGAGAAAGAGGCCCATATGGTTTGCGTGGGAGGCAGGTTTGTACTTTTATTTTTATCCTTATGCTGCTTATTTTGACTCCACCAGACCTAAAGCAGGAGGCCTGTCCTAAAAGAGATGTAACTCATGAAAAATTTAACTTTCATTAAGACCTCATATTAAGTGTCATAACAGACAGAATATAGCTATTTTTCTTTCCAAATAACTGACAGAATATAAATTTTAAGCTACTTTTTGCTGTGAGTCTCCTAACAATTATATTAGAGTTATTCTGAATGAATACAGGTGTGAATTGCAAGTGCAGATATAACCCCAAGCCTTTGGTACATTCTAATGTAATATTACGATATATCTATTAGTAGTATGGGGAAGAAAAATCATTTGAGTTAGTAAATGGAGAATGATCAGGTGCTTTAGGTTTTGAGTTTGAAACTTTCTGTCTCTGATATTTTGGAATATGGTGCTAATTGTGCTGGTCGTGAAGAGAACAGAAGAGTTTGATCGTTTTCTAGTAGCAATATAAAAATGCAGTTTCTTTTGGGACTAGATTTTCTAAAGATTTGCTTTGAGGTGCAGTTAGAGATATTGCAGTAGTATTTTCAGAGTAATCAATGATTGCAAGAGGAGATTATTATTTTTTTTTTGTGGATTTGGCTTTCTCCTCTATGTATACCTTCCCTTCTGTTAGACTGGGTCAGCTTTGGAGACGATGTTGTACATATTCCCACCATCCCTCTTGTCTTTGTGGGTCAAGCCAGGACCAACTTCCACCTTTGTGTTCACTTCTAAGATCTTACTTCCCACAGACTGCAAAGATTTTGCTTCTCTTTGGATTGGTTCAGGGGCGTGGAGTGCATATGTATGAGGTGAAATGGAGCAGAAGTCATCTTGTTCCTCCCCAATGTATTGCAATTTCTTTCATCAAACTTCCTGTGGTTCTGTATTCCAAGGCACTTGAATTAACACCTGGTCAGTAGAATAAGGTGCAAATAGACACAAGAATACAAACACAAATACTGAAATAAAAATGGTCTGTTTACAGGGAGAAGATGGTGCTTTTGGATATGGCCTACCTGGAGAAAAAGGAGTGAAGGTAAAACTGAAAGAGAAATCATAAGGAAATTGTTGTTTTCTCCATTATTTTAGAAGTGATGTACAAGAGGGAAAGCTGGGGGAAATGCAAACAACAGGCACCATTTAGAGCTATTTGAATTTCATTCCAAGGGATATGGGATAGAACTCTAGCCTATACAACTACTGATTTTACTTCTAATTATCACTCACTGTGACTAATTCACTAGCTGTTCTATGTAAGCACAAACCCGAGATTAAACAATGAATTGCTAAAATCATTGTGGTTCACAGGGGGTTTTGCACCCTTCACCTCGGACTATAAGGTCCCTCTGGCCAAGAGGCATCATTTGTCATGCTGATGAAGCTAGTTCATATTATGATTCTAGAATATACTATTGGTAGTGGTTGTAGGATGCAGGAGGCTTCAGTAGATTTTTAGATAGATCTTGATGCTTTCAGAAGCAAGATTATATGATGTTTTGGCAGAAAAGCCAGTCAAATCACATAGCAAGTTTCCTTCTAGTTTTATAGGCCTACAGTTTATAAGAGCTGGTCACTGCAAACTGTCTTTTATTCAGAATACGTCTAAAGAAGCTATTAACCTCCTTTATGCAGACAACTGAAACACAAGTAATGCTCTTCAAAAAGTCATTGGCAAGGTCCTGGTGGGAAGTGAGTGGTGTGGCCTTGGAGGTTTCCTTGGGAAGAACCAGAGACTGTGGCAATTGTTGGTGAAACTGTGAGCAAGGGATGTGTAGGAAAGAGAAGACAAACTGGAGATGCTCATCCCACACACTGACAGAGGCATTACTGGCTTTGTCCTGGGAAATCCTGGAGAGAGATTTTAGATCCAGCAAGGCTAAATGAGCCATGAGCCTGTCCCTTGAATTAAAAAAACTAAGAGTTGTTGTCGTCCTTAAATGTTGCTCGTATGGCACATTGTGTCCCTACAAGACAATGTCTCTTAGCCAACACAAAGCTCTTGATAGTACATTTTCTGGAAATGAAAAATACAGCTTGGCATATCTCCACCAACAAATACCAGCCTCTGCCCTACATCTAATTTACTAGAAACATACCTCAAGAATTTTCATGTGCTAAGATTGGTCCCCTTTAGCTGCCAGAGTAAGGAAAATTTCACTCTTTATTCATGACTGGAACAAATTAAAGCTATAAGTAGATCCTCATCAGCAGTAGTTTATATATAGGTGTGTGTGTATCTTCCCATATATTTTACATATGCAGTGTATATATTATACATAATGTTAGTATTCATACGTATGCATACAAAACAGCATATTACTTTCAAATGACAATTACGAAAACACACTGGTATGACACTGTGGATTTAATGATCTCTACTCTCTATGTTACAGGGAAATAAAGGATTTCCTGGAGATTTTGGACGAAAGGTATGTGTTGGTTTTTTACCTCAACAATTCTCTAGCTTTCATATATGTTAGCTTAAATAATCTGTTCTTTACCGCATTGTGGTTATACAGGTGTAACTCAAATGTAGCTGATAGAATTATGCCATTCCAAAAATGGCTGATACTATTGCCAATATTTCTTTTTAAAAATTAGAACAGTTTTGTAGATAACTTTCTATACATTGATTGAATTTTCTTGGCATTTTGTGAAAAGAAGTAGGATTCAGTTTTGGTTAAAGGAGAGGGAGACGTAACCTGTGTAAGTGGTAAATGACTGAAAGCTTGCATCTGCTATTCTCCCCTTTCCAGCCAGTAAGCGCTAAATAAAAACAGAGCAAGTGTTTTGCTGGGAAGAACAATCTGATGCTTGCTGCTATAAAATGAAGCAACTTTCAGAAAGACATGGAAAGGGAAGGTCCAAGCATCCTGAATGAGCCCTAACTTTGAGGAAAACAGTCTAGATGACTGAAATGGTTTTTGGAAAGCCCACCTATTGTTTGCCTTTGTCCCTCTTATAGTTTACTCATCAAAGTTGCTCCATGTGCAGTCTTTTCAGGAAGGTTTGAATAGCAACCAGTGCAACTAAGAAAAGCTGACAAGTGGTAGTTATAGGCAACCCTCTTCTGAGAGGTACGGAGGCACTCATTTGCTGGCCTGATGCACTCTCTAGAGAGGTGTGCTGCTTGCCAGGGGCTCATATCAGGGAAGTAACTGAGAGACTACCAAACCTCATGCAGTCCTCAGGCTATTATCCACTGCAGCTGGTCTACATGGGCACCAGTGATGCAGCTGGGAGCAGCCTGAAGACTATCAAGAAAGATTATAAAGCCCTGTGAGGACTGGTCAAAGACTCTGGAGCACAGGTAGTTTTTTCATCATTCCTCCTGGTCAAAGCGAAGGGGGTGGATATGTCCCAGTGAATCTGGCAAATCTACAGATTTCTGTAAAAATAAATAAATACTGGTGCCACAGCCAGGGGTTTGGCTTCTTAGATCATGGGACTCACTTTGAGAAACCTGGTCTACTGGGGCCAGATGGGGTCCACCTGTCAGAAAAGGGGAAGAACATCTTTGGTCAAGGCTTGCCAACCTTGTGAAGAGGGCTTTCAACTAGAGTTGCTGGGGAACAGGAACCGGAATCCATCCCACTCCTACCAGTACAATGCTAATACCAGTAGTAGAGGCCTAAAACCTGGAAATGGGTTGCAGGTCAGCAGGAGAGCACCTGGAGTTCACCTTAAAGGAAAAATAGCCACTCCAGCCAGGGAGTTAGATTCGTCCGGGGCCCAACTTAAATGCCTCTATGCAAATGAACGTAGCATGGGGAACAAACAGGAAGAGTTAGGGATATGTGCACACCTGCAAGACTATGATCTAACTGGCACCATGGAGACACAGTGGGATGGCTCCTATGACTGGATGTTGAAATGGGTGGATACAGACTCTTCAGCAAGGACAGGCAGGGGAGACAAGAAGGAGGTGTCGCCCTCTATGTCAAGGACCAGCTGGAGTGCATGGAGTTCTGCCTGGGGAGGGATGAGAAGCTGACTGAGAGCTTATGTGTCAAGACTAAAAGGAGGGCAGGGGTAGGTGATGTTGCAGTGGCGGTCTGCTACAGGCCACCTGACCAGGAAGACCGAGCAGATGAGGCCCTGTATAGACAGATAGGAGCAGCCTCACATTCACAAGCCCTTGTCCTCATGGGGAACTTCGACCACCCGATATCTGTTGGAAGGATAACACAGAAGGGCATAAGCAATCCAGGAGGTTCCTGGAATGCATTGATGATAACTTCCTTCTTCAAGTGATAGAGGAGCCAACAAGGAGAGGTGCCATGCTGAACTTTGTTCTCACCAGCAAGGAGGGGCTGGTGGGGAACATCACACTCAGAGGCAGCCTTGGCTGCAGTGATCATGAGATGGCAGAGTTTGAGATCCTTAGAGCAGTGAGGAGGGTGCACAGTAAGCTTGCTACCCTGAACTTCAGGAGAACAGTCTTTGGCCTCTTCAGGGATCTGCTTGATGGAGTACAGTGGGATAAAGCCCTGGAAGGAAGAGGGGCCCAAGAAAGCTGGCTAATGTCCAAGGACCACCTCCTCCAAGCTCAGGAGCAATGCATCCCGACAAAGAGGAAGTCAGGCAAAAACACCAGGAAGCCTGCATGGAAGAACAAGGAACTCCTGGACAATCTCAAATGGAAAAAGGAAGCCTAAAGAGGGTGGAAGCAAGGACAGGTAGCCTGGGAGGAATATGGAGAAATTGCCTGAGCAGCTAGGAATCAGGTGAGGAAAGCTAAAGCCCAGATAGAGTTAAATCTGGTCAGACGCATCAGGGGCAACAAGAAAGCCTTCTATAGGTATATTAGTGACAAAAGGACGACTAGGGAAGATGTGGGCCCACTCAGGAAGGAAATGGGAGATGTGGTCACCCAGGACATGGAGAAGGCTGAGGTACTCAATGATTTTTTGCCTCAGTCTTCACTGGTAAGGGCGCTAAGCACACTGCCTGAGTTGCAGAAGGCAAAGGCAGGGACTGGGAGAGCGAAGTACTGCCCGCTGTAGGAGAAGCCCAGGTTCGAGACCAGCTGAGGAACCTGAAGGTGCACAAGTCCATGGGACCTGATGAGGTTCATCCATGGGTCCTAAGCGAACTGGCGGATTAAGTTGCCAAGGCACTATCCATCAAATTTGAGAAGTCATGGCAGTCTGATGAAGTTCCCACTGACTGGAAAAGGGAAAACATAGCCCTCATTGTTAAAAAGGGCAAAAAAGAAGACCCAGAGAACTACAGGCCAGTCAGTCTCACCTCTGTGCCTGGCAAGATCATGGAGCAGATCCTCCTGGAAACTCTTCTAAGGCACATGGAAAACAGAGAGGTGGATTGGTGGCAGCCAACACAGCTTCACTAAGGGCAAATTGTGCCTGACAAAGTTGGTGGCCTTCTACAATGCCGTTACAGCGTTGGCGGATAAGGGGAGAGCAACAGACGTCACTACCTGGACTTGTGCAAAGCATTTGACACTGTCCCGCATGACATCCTTGTCTTTAAAATGGAAAGATGTGGATTTGACTGATGGATCACTTGGTGGATAAGGAACTGGCTGGATGGTCGCACTCAAAGAGTTGCGGTCAATGACTCAATGTCCAACTGGCGAGCAGTGACAAGTGGTGTTCCTCAGGAGTTGGTACTGGGACCAGTACTATGTAATATCTTTGTTGGTGACGTGGATGTTGGGGTGAGTGCACCCTCAGCAAATTTGCTGACAACACCAAGCTGTGTGGAGCAGGTGACACACTGGAGGGAGGGGATGCTATCCAGAGGGACCTGGACAAGCTTGAGGGGTGGTCCCGTGCAAACCTCATGAAGTTCAACAAGGCTGAGTGCAAGGTCCTGCACGTGGGCCGGGGCAGTCCCATGCACAAATACAGTCTGGCGGAAGAATGGATTGAGAGTAACCCTGAGAGGGACTTGGGGGTGTTGGTCGATGACAAGCTCAACATGAGCCGGCAATGTGCACTTGCAGCCCAGAAGGCCAACCATATCCTGGGCTGCATCAGAAGTGTGGCCAGCAGGTCGAGGGAGGTGATTCTGCCCTCTACTCCACTCTCGTGAGACCCCACCTGGAATACGGCATCCAGCTCTGGAGCCCTCAACATAAGGACATGGACTTGTTGGAACGGGTCCAGAGGAGGGCGACAAGGATGATGTCATGGTTTGGCCTCAGCCAGCAACAAAGAACCACATAGCTGCTCGCACAACTCCCACAGTCGTGGAAAAAGAAATCATCAGGGCAAAACTCGTGGGTTAAAAGAATGCAATTTAACAGAACAGCAAAAGGAAAAGATGAAAACGCGATTACAGTACCACCATGAAGCGCACCGACCAGACCGGCGCGCAACCGCAGCTCACCCCCAAGTGTCGACTCCTCTTCTCTCCCCGGCTAGCTCCTCTTATAGCTCGGGCATGGGTCACGTGTTATGGAATACCTGCCCCCTGCGGGCTCCTGGGGAAATTAACCCCATCCCTGCCGGAACCAGGACAGATGATCAGAGGGCTGGAGCACCTCTTCTATGAGGAGAGGCTGAGAGAGTTGGGGCTGTTCAGCCTGGAGAAGAAAAGGCTCCGGGGACACCTTATAGCAGCTTTCCAGTATCCAAAGGGCACCTACAAGAAAGCTGGAGAGGGACTTGTGGTGATAGGACAAGTGGTAATGGCTTCAAACTGGAAGAGGGTAGATTTAGAATAGATTTTAGGACGAAATGTTTCGCTATGAGGGTGGTGAGACACTGGAACAGGTTGCTCAGGGAAGCTGTGGTTGTCCCATCCCTGCTCAAAGCAACCTGGTCTAGTGGAAGGTGTCCTTGCCCATGGCAGAGGGGTTGGAACTACATGATGTTTAATGTCCCTTCCAACCTAAACCATTTTATGATTCTATGAATTCACTTCAATTGTTTAAGAAAGGTAGTGTTTGTATGTAGAGGTTTCTTCTGACCTCCAAGGATCCAGAGGCTGCCACGCAAGCGGGACTAGCAGTGGTTTTTCCTACTCCTAAAGCTTCAGACCAACTTGCTTATAGACAGAAACTTTGGGAAAACAGCTTCTGGCTTCCGTACAGTGAAAGTTGATGGACATATGAGGTCTTATTCTGCTGCATTGTATGACCATGTCAGAGTGAAATCATTCAGGCTAACTCTGTGCTTCTATTGTATGGGCAAAGGACAAAGAAGAATTTTGGAGAGAAATAAATTGGAAATTTATCAGCATAAGTCCTGACCTTCCTTTGCTTTCAAGTTTTCTCCAATATTTTTCTTACCCACTAACTGGGGAGTGATTAGAAGTTTTGTTAAATAAATTGAACCGCCAGCTCTTCACTGTTCTCATGGGAAATCAGTGTGTGCTTTAATAAACAAGTAGATAAATCACATTTTGGAAGCAGCAGACTTCTGCCGAAGAAGGCATTATTTGGAGACAATACACTGCAGTCAACAGTATGGTTTTGGCAGATTAGAGGGAGAAGTACTTTCACTTGTGTGAAACAAAATGTTGCATGTCGTCTGTTGTGTTATGATGTCGCATTGAAGTAACAACTGCATCTCATTTTCTTTTTCCCTGGTAAAAAATTGTTGGCTGGTCATTGTATAGGTTTGGTTTGTTTTTTTTTACATTATTCCATGACTAATTTTTTGTGTGCAATCTTTCATATGCCTATGTTTTGGTGGAAGAATGCTGTCATAATTTCTGGAGAAGTTTGCATATTTATCAGAAGAGACTATTTTCACATTTTAACTACATTTTTTTTCCAATTAACTAGGGTGAAGCTGGGGACAATGGAATTCCAGGGGAACGTGGACTGAAAGGATATAGAGGCAGAATGGCAAGTACCTTATCATTGCTGTCCTTTAATAGATTTTTTTTTAATAGTCGCCTCCTTGATGTAGGGATGGCACACTTGTATTGATTTTTAGATGTTATGTCTGTCATTTTCAAAGGCTGCTAATGCTGGCCGTGCTCTGGCCCTGTGTACATCACGCTAAACAGAAACAACGGCTATTTCTGAATGTCCTACCTGCTGTTCCAGTTCACTTCCCTTCTATGCCTTTTAGATAAAAAAAACACTGTAGAAGAAATTTGTTGGTTTAAAAGCAGTGTGATGATCCCATTTATTCCCCATTAACTTATTTGCCCTGATTTTTCTGGTTTCTTGTGTGTTTGTTTCTCCCTTTTTTCCCCAAGCTGTATATTAACTTCAGATCTCCTCCACTGTGTCAGTGGGTAACAGGGGCTGGCTGCTCCCCACAGAAAGGAGAGCTGGTAGCTGTGGATGGTAACAAACCAGGAAGAGTTCAATCCCACTGAACTGTTTTTACTCAGCACTGCTTTTCCAAAAAGGCTAGAAATTAAACTAGGCTCTTGCCACTAAAAGCAAAGATGTTCATGTGCTAATTTTATTTTTAGGATTGTATTTCTAAATGGGCTTTGAACATATTGGATGAATAATGCACTTAACAAAAATGAGCTGACCTACTGGAAGAAAACCGGTGTTTTGATGCTATCAGGTTCTTTATCTCTTGAAAGTGTAAATTATGTCAGACCTTGTGCTCTTCTTTCTTACTTCTCATTTACATTTAAGTCAGTGGAACTTAAGCATGTAGCAAATAAAGGAAGAAGGAAGGAAATCTGTTGATTTCCAATAGAAAATGTAAATTTTATGTCGCCTGTGTATCTTCTTTGAATACCACATATGTAACATGCTCCTATTCATAGGGTATTCCAGGACCTCCTGGTCTGGAAGGCAGTACAGGAGACAGGGGTTCTCCAGGACACAGGGTAAGACCTAGACTCCATATATTTTGCCAGTGCTGGAAAATATGTTTGTTCTTTTTAATTTTGAAGGGAAACTAAGGAATGATACAAAACATTTTCTTCCTGTTATGGTCTGAAGTGGTAATATGTGCAATGTTCTGATGACTGGCACTGATGTGTTGTGTGTATATTATAAATTGCATGACTGTATTACACTGTGAACTTCAACATTTTATTAAATAAAAAGGATTGTGAATTCATCTTTATGTAAGCACAAATCAGGTACTTCTGAATGCAAAGGGCTAATTGTACACCTATAAATGTAATTTTCATAGGTCACCGTCTAAATGCCTACCTTGTGCATGTTTAAAAAGTGTACCTGACTCATACTTTTAACTAATGCAAAGGACAATCCTTACTGTATTTTTTGCCCATCAGTAGCACAGAAGATTTTGCAATTAAGTGCTTATAACAAACCCTTTGTAAGTACTGTTGTGGGAGTTTGGCATGTGTATCTTAAGTCTCAAATGAAAGTAGCCTACTTTAGAAATATTTATTTCCTCTTTGACTTTCAGCTTTGCAAATTCAACATGGTAGAAGAGAGATTGGGTTCATTTTTCTATCATTAATTGTCAACACTGCGAAGAAGTCTGCACTCATGCTAAGCTGATAGTTTCCCTGTACATCTTTGTCAGATATGAAATGATATACTGTGGATTTCTTATAGCTTCAAAATAGGACCATAGCTGAAATTAGTTGCAATAGCCATGTACAAAAATTCATCAAAGTACTAGAGGTCTGTCCTTGCAAACCAAAATACTGATCTTTTCTCACCCTTACTGAAATAAAATTGTCCACAGATAACAGGTATTAGAAACCTTCAGTTCTACTGTAGACTTCCAATATCCCCAAATAATGGTAGACATTAAATAAAATATATAAAAATGTGTAATGCAATCAGCACTTTGCTTTTTTTGTTGGTTTTTTTTATTTCCCTGTGATTAGTAAAATATCTGAGCAATTAGGTGAGATGACAATAACATTACCGTAATCTTTTCCCTTTTTTTGTTTTGTTTTTTTTTTTAGGGGAGTAAAGGAAGGAATGGACAAGCCTTATTTTCTGTACGTATCTCTAGCACTCTCCACGCTACAAACACCACAATGTACTATCTCATTGGGTGTTCACGTGCTCATGTATGCGTTTTTTGTTCTTGTCCACAGCCATGTGAACTCATTGACTACGTCCGCAAACACAGCCGTAAGTGTTCAATCTTGTTTTGATATTGTAAGCCCAAGTATCACCACTTGCTTTCTTCCCTGTCTCATTAGTATGACATTAGTTCTGTGTTCAGCGTGCCTGTGAATTTAAGGTCTTAGCAGGCAAGTGCTTGAAAAATGAAGTTAGGGCTCAGAATGCAAGAAAAAAAATCTTTTTTGTTTAGAATAATTTCTTTTGCCAAAGTTACTGTAATATAATTTCTTTAGAAATGTTAAGTGTCTTGGTATTCAGTGTTTCCAGTGAACATGAAGTAAGTTTGCATTATTTTTTTCCTAGTCTACCTATCCTAATTCCTTAGAAAGTGGCCATGCCAAATAGTGGGTGTTTCTACAACTAATGGTATATTTATATCTCTAAACTCTGGTGTAAACCCCTCAATGAAAATGTTTGGTTTAGAGCAGGGCCAGGTCCTGCTTGTCCTTTTACTCCATTCTTCAGTAAAACCAAAGAGAATTTTGCAAGCATCCATAGCAGCAGAGGTAAATAATGTGTGCATCCTAAGTCACTGAAAGTCTCAAAATCTGTAGAACTATGGAAACTAAATTCAGTGTATGTTCCACTGGTGATTTCTGCTTTTATTTTTAAAACTCTTCAGATGCAAAATTTTTCAATTAATCTTTTTTTTTCTCTTTCTTTAGCTTGCTGGGATGGTGAGTACTGCTTATTCCTATGTTACTGTTACTAGACAGGCAAAATGGTGGTGTTCATTTGTCAAACTGACCTAGCAGAGGCCTCATACTACTTCGCGTTTGTCGTATTAGACTCCACTCAACCAAACATTCAGAGTTGTGTGCTCCCTTCACAGGGGTTAAATCATACATCGAGAATCAGGTGTTTACTGAACTGGAGCTTTGGTTTGTTAATCCATGTGTAGGATAGGATATATATCCCCTTTTAATTTAGCTACCTAAAATGCAAGTGTTTAGTCACTAGATGCTTCCTCTGCAGTTTGGCTCTCTCCATTAATGAGTCAGACTAAATATGTCAATATTCATAGCTGTGGTAGGTGTTTTTAATTAAAACCATCAGATACTATTTGGCCATCACTAGCTCAGCTTCAAATACCACATTTCTGATTGGCTAAACTAAGCCTAAGCAAACTAGGGCTTCATAGTTTGTATATGCTCTAAGGTATGCACGCTCTAACACAGACATTTCTCCTACTACACATACGTGCTCTTGACTCTAGGTAATTTCTAGTCCCATTCTGCAGGTGGAGCAGCATGGTATATCCTGGGAAATCTGTGGAGAGCAGAGAATTAACGTCTCTGAAGTCCTAGAACAGATCTGCTGAGCCATCTAGCACATCTGCTTCCTTCTTCCTCTGAAAAGAAATGTTATTTACTCATCTTACTTATTTACTTACCTTCTATTTTTTGACATTTTCAGCATTATCCTATCTGCTTACCTTGCTGTTACGTAAAACTTCTCAAAAGCTCAGATTTGTTTACTTGTGATAAGTTTCTTCTGGATAAGCTTGGCTGCTATGAGTTTCAAAATCAAGGCGTACCCTTTTTGTTTAATGCCAATAGCGGTGATTGTCTTAACCCCTACTGCATGTATGACCCTCATTTCCATTTCCTGAAGAGTAGGTGTAATATTAAGCAGTCGAAGATTCACCCCACCATAACATGGTGCTTGAAATATTTGTCCCTTTTTTATACCCAGCACATGTGCTGGCGTATATTTGGATGGTACAATGTGTTGCGAACTGTTGATGTGAAGGTAGGTTGGAGAAACTGAACTGAAAAAGAGCATTTAAAACTCGATGCAGTTCCTTCAAGTCTTTTATATATCACAGGTTTCTATTGGCAATAAAGGCTTATAGGCATTCTTAGTGCCTTGTATCGTTTTGTTTCAGCAGTATTTGTTTTAGCCCCATTGGTAAGAGTTGGCAAGTGTTGGCAATATCAAAATAGCACATGTTCTCCTTTGTAATTTTCTCCTATTATCTATGCAGTGGTGTTCAGTTCCTGTGCGTATTCTTTCTTGTTGTTTCTTTCTACTTGTCCCTGAGAGATATAGCTAGCATTACCCTTCTCTGATCCTTCATAATTCTAATTATCTTGCAGTTTCAGCATTGCAGATTAATTTTCTTTCTTGTCCCTTCTCTGACCTTCTTGTCTGTTCTTAACTTCACTCCCACCAGTTCCTCCACTGCTTTACAATGAGCTGCCAAATAATTTTACTACACCTATTAATTTAAAACTTTTCCTTTTTATTTATTCTGACTTCAATACTGCTCTCCTTAGGGTTTTTTTCTTCATAACTATCCTCTTTCCATTATGGCTCAGCATCCTTCAGTACTTGGTATGGTCCATGCCCAAATGTTTCTAGTACCAGTTTTGTAAAGGAAATGATAATGAGATTTTTGTCCTACACTGAATTTGGCTGGAATAGTAAGTCAGTAATCTCCTCCTTTCATGAGTGCTAGACAAATGATCCTGTTATTACTGTAGTTATGTTACCTTCTATAGCCTGTGGTTTTTAAATTACATTTTTCTTCATGCTGCAGCAAATTATCTTCTTCAACACAATTTCTGATTTTCAATGTAGTATCATGGCTGGAGTAATTACAAGATGAAATGTGTTTTTCTCCAGAAGTGTCACATGCGTTATCAAATCTTAACAGAGCTCCTAGTAATAATGTAGTAATAATATCATCAAATCAGTATCCGAGCTGCACAACAGTACCTGAGTTAGCATAAGCCCACACTGTGCCCAAGAAGAGCTTTAAAATGGAAATATTGCGTGCTGGAAATACAGACTACTTCTACACAACCCAATGCAGGCTGTTGCAATCTCGCTCTGAGGTCGGTAGTGTAGGTTCTGCTTCTGCAGGCACACCCAGCAAGGGGGGCACAGACTGCATCAGACTCACATCCCACGGGTTCAGAACGCAGGTGAATGTGGAGCCTGTCAGAATTTGGACAAAACCCAAGATCATTTCTACTCCTGGCTCTGCCCTGTTGTTGTCCTGCTTGGATGATGCTGGAAAAGCCACTTTTACTCTCTGTGCTGCAGCTTCCCCATCAGTAGAATAGCCCTAATATGATTTAGCACTATTTTTCAAATGTCTTTGTAAAACATCTTCATAAGAATGAGCAATTTATACTCTTCTGTGCCTCACTTCAATATAAGTTGGGCAGATTTTTGTTTGACTCCCTCTTTTTCTTTGTGCATGTATCAAGTGCAAGATGTAGTTTATCATTTTAAGTATGGCTTTTATGTGCATTACTCTCCGTGTCTGAGATGCAAGGGAACAAAATAATTTGGTGGTGTTTTTTTGTTTTTTTTTTTCCTAGGAAAACCAAAATGCCCAGTATATCCAACAGAACTGGTGTTTGCCTTGGACACCTCTAGGACAGTCACTCCTGAGACATTTGAACTAATGAGAGAGATTATAACAGCAATAGTGAGCGAGGCCAGAATCAGAGACAGCAACTGCCCAGTGGGAGCCAGAGTCGCTGTTGTTTCCTACAACACAGTTACCCACCACCTGATCCACTTCTCAGAGTTTCACAACAAGAATAAGCTACTCTATGCACTAAAAAGTATTTCTTACCAGAGATCCTTCAGTGAACGGGACACTGGAGGTGCAATGAGATTCATTACCAAGAATGTTTTTAAAAGAACGCTACAAGGTCCTAATGTGAGAAAAATAGCTGTGGTTTTCAGCCATGGACCCGCCGCAGATGCATCTTCTGTTAAACAAGCTGTCCTGGAGATGAGTGCAGTAGAAGTCATTCCAGTAGTTATTGCTTTAAAAAACACACCCCAAAGCTCCCAGTCTTTCCTGGTAAGAAATTTACTGAACTTTTCTTCTTTATGCTCAGTAATGTTAGCTTGAAATAAGAAACCTTAAATGTATTAGGTCATGCTTATCCCACATGTAATGCTCTTGAGCACAGCGACTCACCTGTAGCAAAATTTGATCCAAATTGTGCACAATAGTAGCTATCGGTTAATCTTTAGTGATGCTAATAAAAAGTGTGGAAATACTGGAGATTTTGTAAGAATACTATAGCAGACCACAACAAAGATAATGTGTGCAGACCATAAAATACATGGATAACTTTATAGAGGAGAGATTTCATGGTCAATAATGGTTCACTCTAAAATAGTGAAAACTCACAGAATGTGTTTATTAGAAAAACCTTCAGTGTACCAGCAAGCCTGGTACAGTAAATGGCTAGGTTAAAATTCCTTGTTTTATTACTTGGCAAAGAAGCTACCAGAAGAGGATGGAATTATGGAAAATGCTTCTGATGCATAGTAAATTATTAAGAGTTAAAAAACCCTTTTGTTCTTTGTACTAGCATTTCCATAGCTTTAATGTATATGAAATATGTGTAGCAATGAATAGAAAGAAAAAAAATTATTGAACACAAGGTAAAACACTACTAATGTCTGATATTGGCATGTTTGCATGCTAAGTTTTTTCAAGAACTAAGCACAGGAATAGTTAAGATATTAAGAACTAGCTGTGCTTTTCCTGTTGTCTGGACTTCAGGAATCAACGCCTGTGTCCTGGTTCCAGCAGGGATGGGGTTAATTTTCCCAAGGAGCCAGCAGGGGACACGGGTATTCCATGCCATGTGAGCCATGCCCAGGTTTGGTGGGGGGAGCGAGCCGGGGGAGGGGGCAGGAAGTCACGGCTGGGAGCGGGCTGTGGTGGTCCGGCTCTGGTCGGGGAGAGGCGGCACTGTAATCGCGTGCGTATATTCCTTTACCGGTGTTATTGTTAGTGTTTTCTCTTACTTTTGCTGTTCTGTTAAACTGCTTTTATCTCAACCCACGAGTTTCTGCGTTATTCCTTCTGATTCTGCCCACGGCTGTGGGAGTTGCGCGAGCGGCTGCGTGGTTCTTTGTATCCGGCTGGGGCCAAACCACGACAGTCCTTTTTGGCGCCCAACGTGGGGCTCGGAGGGTTGAGATAACAATAGATCTGACTAGAGCTTGTTAAAACGAATTTGTTATATGCATCTTCTCATATTAGTTAGATAGTCGCTGGTTACAATGTTGCTCCGTTTGCGTGGCTGTGTTATGTAAATTCTTACATGTCCTATATACTCCCTGTGATGCTGTTTGTTACCTCGGGGAGAGGGATCAGGGTTATCATTTTGCTGTCCTGTGCGATATCAGCTTATGATATGATAACATCAGTGTTCAGATGGCTATGTTGGGGAGTTTATGCGGTACTGCTGTCCTGTCCATACCTTGGTCACTGTCTCTCAGAATTTTTTAATCACACCCAATCTATGGGGGAGACCGTAATAATGTAATAACAATTGTTGTACTTAGTGTTGTATTTTAGCCTGTATTAGGATCCAATGTTGCAGTTGTTGTAGTCGGATGTATATAAGAATCAAGTTTGGGTATTGAGACATTGGGTTTGTAAGCTCAAAGCACCCAGCCCTGCAGTCCCCAGGGGGCAGCTCCGGCTTCCCCTTCTCCTGAGCTCCCGGGACCACCGTGCCCTTTGCCAGGCTTGGGGAAGGGGGCAGAGGTGTCCTGCTTCCAGCAGGGATGGGGTTATTTTCCCCAAGGAGGCAGCAGGGGAGGCAGGTATTCCATCCCATGTGACCCATGCCCAGGCTAAAGAGGAGCTAGTTGGGGAGGGGGGTGCCGTTGCCACTCAGGGGTGGGCTGTGGTGATCCTGGTCTGGTCTGTGCGCTGCACGGCTGTACTGTAATCGCGTCTTTCTACCCCTTTATCGGTGTTATTGTGGGTTTTTTTTCGTCTTCCCTTTTACTGTTCTGTTAAATTGCACTATTTCAACCCAGGAGTTTTGCCTTTTTCTGACGATTTCTCCCACAGCTGTGGGAGTTGAGCGAGCAGCCGGGTGGTTCTTTGTTGCTGGCTGAGGCCACACCACGACAGTCCTTTTTGGTGCCTAACGTGGGGCTCGGAGGGTTGAGATAATGACAGATCTGACCAGAGCTTGTTAAAACAAATTTCTTTTATGCATTTCTCATATCAGTTAGATAGTCGCTGGTTACAATGTTGCTTCATTTGTTTGCGTGGCTGTGTTATGTAAATTCTTATATGCTCTATGTACTCCCTGTGATGCTGTTTGTTATCTCGGGGAGAGGGATCATTTTGCTGTCCTGTGCAATACCAGCTTATGATATGATAACATCACTATTCAGGTGACTTTGTTGGGTTGTATATGCAGTATTGCTGTCCTGTCCATACCTTGGTTACTGTCTCTCAGAAGTTATTAGTAATCACACCCAATCTATGGGAGAAACAGAGGGAGATACTTTCCCCAGCTCTTTTGCCTCCCTTTTCTCCTTTGGGCCAGGTATGACACCTCTTGAGAATTTCGAATGTCCTTGGGATGCTCAAACCAGCATGTTCCTATTGCTATGCCTCATGAATGTTTTTCGAGTCTTGTTTAGGGTTAAACAACTGTTTAAGACTACCACCCAGAGATCTGCCCCAAGTCTGGATATTCAAGGGTGGCATGGGATGTAGGAAAATATGGGCAGGTATCTAGAGAATTTCTCACCTCCAATGGTTTGAGACTTCACCCTCGAACAACTACAGGACCCTGAAAAAGTGACAGAATATTTGAAAGGAAAATGCTGTGGCTACTCCAGAGAGGCACAACTTACGGCACTGTGCTGGGCCCTGGCCAGTATCTACCAAACACTGCTCAGTACTATGCAGGACCCTCAGGGGAAAAAGAGGGAAATTAGATTGGCAGACAATGTGGCTACTCCAACCCCGGTGGCAGATACTGCGGCCACTCCGACCCCAGTGGCAGATACTGCGGCCACTCCGACCCC